GGGAATTAGAGAAGGCATCAATCAACTTCTCTGTAATTGACATAGTTGAGCTTTTGGCTCTAAGGAGTGCAAGGGGTCACTCGAACGCCCCCATATCTTCCTGTATTTCCTTTGATAATTGAAGTCTTAATCAATTCAATCCAATCGTCTTATTTCCGATTACTTGCTTGTTGTGTGAATTCTATAATTCTGAACCTAAGTCTTAACAAATAACCTATGCCATTGTCTTGTGTCATAGTTATACTTTACTCTTAGATTTTCTCTCTTTGTTTTGTTACAATTGATATTATTCTCGTACATCACAATTTTCTTTCGTCAGTGTAATATTCTTTCCTCTTGAGTTTCACTAGCATCTTCATGTAAGAGTTTAAATAGTCTCCCTTATGGGTGTTTTAATAGTTTTTTTCTTAAAGTTTTACTCATATTATCTAGTTATTATGAAGACAACTTCGTATCATTATATTTAGTTCTTATCATTAAATTACGGAAAAGTTAATGATTTTCTAAATGCTACATTATTTAACTTTCCTCATAAGTAAAAAAAAACAAAAAAAAACAAAAAAACACTTATAAGTTACTCTTTCTCATCTTCATAATTCGTTAAAAGATATATTTTAATCTCTTTTTAATGTTAAATCTTATTACTATTATCCTAATTGCAGATGTCTGCTAATATAGACAGTTGCTTTTGAATAGTTATTAAAAATCTTTCCCTTTGTTTTATTCTCAAACATTTTCAAATATTTCTCCTTATTAGGATAACTGCATTTCATCAATTACTTTTATATTTCAAAAGTCGATAACTGCTCTTATATCTTATTCTTACTTACTCTTTGGATAGAAAAATACATTATTTGGTTTGATTTCTTTCCATCATGGATTGTATCTTTTGATACTTTTTGTCTTCTAAAAAAAATAAAAAATAATATGGAGAGGTTCTAATAGGGAATCCGCACCAAACACACTTAGGTTATATGGGTTTCTTATTTTCTTTCCCACTTGCCAAACACGGCCTTAATGTTATTGCTGAGTAATTTAGGGGAGGTTTGGTTCATGGATTCAGAACCATTTTCGTTTTACGTGTGTTTTTTGTGAGAGAAAATACTGTAGCGAGCTACGAACTACGATTCGAATCCCCCTTCCAAACGTCCCCTTATTTGTTCGTCTTAATTTCAAAATACCGATGTAGATGAAGAAGGTGAAAACCGACACTGATTCTACTCCCATTGTTGACTTAAAGTCTATTATTCACCAGCATTCGCTGTTCTTTGACAAGTTAGTTGAGCTTATTCCGGCAAACTTCTATCTATCCACCGGCGACAAGGATAAGCCCTGGTTTCAGGGTTTAAGCAAGGCCGAAAAAAGCGTCAGCGAAGAAGGAAACAAAGGAGAACATCAAGAAAGCTCGAAGAGATCGTTTAGACCCTGAGAAGTCATCCACAACAACCCTTGATTTGTTGAAGCAAAGCTTCAAAAAGGAGAAGAAAGATGGTGAAAGTGATGATGACGAGACTGAGATTCAGCCTAATTTGTCTGGTTTGGATGATGATAATAGGTTGGTGACATAGGAGGAGCTTCGACAAAGGCTTCGTCGCAGAATTAAAGAGTTTCGGGCAACTCGGAATACTAGAGGCTTTGATAAGGCAAACAAGAGGAATGAGAGAAATGATAAGAAAGGAACTGAGCAAAAGAAATGCAAGAGGGACACCGAATCAAAGGAGAAAGAGCCTAAATCGGGTAATTCGGATGATAAAGTAGAGAAAGATGTTGTGGAAGCTTCAAAGGAGCTTGCATTCAGCCATGTGAAGCTCGGGAATGAAGACGGGCACAGGAAGAAAAAGAAGCAGCGGAAGCTTTCAAAATCACAGGAGCTTGAGAGGGCCAAGAAGTTGGAGGAAGCAAAGAAAGATCCCGGGAAAGGGGACGTTATTTCGAAGAAGCACTCGTGGAATGCTGCGACAAGCTGAGCCGCTGGGATAAAGGTTCATGACGATTCCAAGTTGTTGAAGGAGAGCATTCGAAAGGAAAAGAGAAGGCAACAAAAGAATGCTCAGAAATGGAAGGAAAGGGTTCAGGCCACACAGAAGATGAAAGCAGAAAGACAACAGAAGAGGTCAGAAAATATAGCAGCGAGGAAGATCGCAAAGCGGGAAAAGAAGCTCATGAGGCCAGGATTTTAAGGTCGCAAGGAAGGATTTGTCAATGAGGGCTCTACAGCTTGAGATCGAGTCATGTTGAACTTCATTTTCTGGTTGTGATATGGGATTTGCTTCATCTGCTTAGTTTCACAAGAAATGGGATAAACAACACAATATAACTTTAGGGGAAAGAGTATAATCTAGTGTCGTCTTTTAATCGCCACTCAATAGTTTGCCATTCCCCTTCTTTTCACAGTTCAGTTGGGCCTTAGATTTGCATAATAGATGAGTATTTCAACAGTATGTTATGCTGGTTAATTTTTCTAGTGGTTGCTAATTTCAATCCGTTCTGAGCCAGAAACCAATTATGTCTCTCTTTCATTTTGTGAATTGACTGGTTTTACCCTTTTCATTTGATGTTTGTTCTTACCTGAGTAATGATGTTAATCAACTCGTTTCTTGCCAAATTAGGGGGGGAAGAAAATCTCATGAAAAAAATTTACGTCAAAGTATTTCTGTACATAACTCTTGTTAACAAGAGGTATCAAGAATGTCTAAAGATACTTGTACACTAAATTCTGCTCATCTTAAGTAGAAAGTGAATAATTAAGAAGCAAAAATGTAGAAGATGCAACTATTAGGATTGTTTTGCTATCCCACGCGGCGGCGGTGGGGATTTCGTTGGGGTACTTTCCTCATAATCCCCATTTTGCTATCTAATATAATTAGACATATAAAACTATTAGCAATTTAAATAAATAACAAAGTAAAAATTCACTATGAAATTGAACCAAAATCAAAAGTTCTTCGTGTTTAAAAAAAAAAAAAAATCGAAAGCTCTTCAACAAACCAAACTGTACCACATATATGCAAACCAGATCTTAGTAACAAAACAGAAAAGACTAATCATGTTTAAAAAGTTTTTGTTATATATTTATTTCAATAAAATATGCAATATATGAATATCCGGGGTGGATGTAGGGTGAGCCAGGAGTGCTTTCCTCGTCCCAAGATCGGCCACAACTTGGGTACAATTGTGTACCTAATTTCAGTTATTGTTCCCCATTCTTGCTCCTTTTGAGGCAGGTTTCCGTCCTCGCAAGAAATAGTCAACTCTAGTTTTATGTTTGTTAGTTTACTAATTCATCGTGAACGTTTGGTTTACGAATTTATAATTATGGTTTAAAATTATTCTCGGTTTACGTGTTTTTTGTGAGATAAAATATTGTAGTGAGTCACGAACCATGATTCGAATCATAGCACGAATTCTCATACCAAGCACCCAGTTTAAGAGGTGGACAAACAATAATTTTTATACTTTAACACCCTCTCACGTGTGAGCTGGACAATGAGTAATCGTGTGGGTAATTAATTGGAAAGCCTAACACGTGAATATTTAAGCTCGGAATATATTAAAAATTTAACACATGATAACACTTTAAATAGGAATAAAGAGTAATTATAAGAATTTAAATTCAAAACTTACCGTTCTGATACCATATTAATTTACCAATCGATAAATGTTACCTTGCCGTTTAGAAAGTAGTGTTAGACCCTCTTATGATTCGTGAATTACAAAAACTGATTACCAAAAAGAACTAGACCCAATGCATCCTGACTAGCATTTGTCGGCCATTACCCTTTCTTCCTTTCTATTTGGTCCAAACCAGTTATGTTTATCGATGTGAACTACTTGGCATGTCTTATTTGATTGATAAGTTCTTTTGTTGGTACGTTGCCATGACATTTCCAAGGTACAAATATACCCCCACTTCCATTTTTAGCCTATCAGAGAGCATGCGCGAAAAGGTTTATTCAAGCGTGACTTTAGAAGTTATCAACCCAATGCCACTGGTAAAGAGGGTACAGCCACTATTAAATACATTTTCTCGGGTGTATTTGATTTTGAATCATGATTCGTAATTCGTTATAATATTTTTTTTTATAAAAAATACATGTAAATCAAAAATAGTTATGAATTATGATTCTGAATTCATCAATCTTCTCTCACAAAAGAAACACATATAAATTAAAAATAATTCTAAATCATAATTCTGAATCGTCCTTTAAAAAACGTTAAAGTCCATTTGGTTCAATTAAATACTTAAACCCATGACATTCTTAGACCCATGATTTTATTCTGCTACACAATTTTTTTATCTCACAAAAAAAAAATTAAAATTAAAAATTTCTTCTCACAAAAAATTTAAATTAAAAAATTCCTCTTACAAAATTACTAAAAAATCAAAATCTCACAAAATTACTAATAAATCAGAATCACACACTTCAACGGAATACCTGATTTACATGCACTCTTGCTTACTTGCTGCCAGTGCCCCTTGTAAGAAAAGCCTTTGTCTTTGGACCTAATTAATACCGTAGAGAATGATACCGTCCCATTTGTTTCGAGAGCCAACCATTTTTTTTTTTCATCTGAAATTTCAGAACAGTTATTTAGCTCTCAATAAGAATTCAATTGTTAAGTCCAGCAGCAATATGGTGCCGAATAGTATTGTAACATTTTTCACGAACTTGTAACATTTTTCAAAAAACTTTGAACTGCTTGGTGTTGCATAATAGAACAAACAGCTTTTTGGTTTTTACATAAACAACGATATTACAATGACGAATACGTTAAGACTGGTAAGGCGGCGAAGGCGAGAAAATTTATAGTACAAAGTTTCCTTGTTGCAAATAGAATATGTACCACCTGAGCAAGTTGTTAATTAAGCCAGTTATTTGTGTTAGTTGAAAGCCACACATTGACATTAATTAGTACACATGCAACAAGTAATTAAAAGACCAACAATATTCCACACAACAACAAACATGATATCCAACAGCCACTGGCGAATGAAGAAACCAACCAAAGGGCAAATAGAAAAAGGATTGATCAGCCAAAACAAGCCAACCAAAGACATATACATGTCTTTCAAACTTGCAAAGAAAAACATAAGAGAAACACATAACAAAGACACATACACATTATGCATGACATACATACATAATATGCACATGATATTATATGTATATGTCTAGACCGCCCTAGTGGTGGGAGCTGCAGTGCCACCCTTGAGGCCCGGATCTTCTCCGCGCTCTCTGATGCCGTAGTCGGTGTCACGGTAGCCGGGGCCGTACTTGCTGCTGAACGTGCCGGCGTGAAGCAACAGAACATACATCAGCTGAGTGAAAGTCAGAATTATCACAAACGCCTCCAACACCCTCAGCCTCCACCCTCTATGTCCTCCTATGTTTATTTGCTTGCAAGCGAACCTATACATTGTCATACATACATATATGCACATGTATATCAGAATGAGTAGTTGGTTATTTTATTTTGTATTACATGGCAATATATATATGTGTGTGTGTGTGTGTGTATATATATATTTGTGTATATATGTACGTGGAAACTAATTGTAGTTACCCGAAGGCTAGAGCAGTGATGGCCCAAGCAATGAGTGATAAGGCAGCTGCGGCAGCAAGGCTGTCGTTTCTCCAAGCTCTGATGTGGTTGCCACCTGCGAGTTTCGAGACTCTCCCCCCCACCGCATTTTCTCCCCCCTTTCTCTTTTAGTTTAAATTTTGTGGGGCTATTTAAACCCTTCATCTCAAGATGTAGTCATGTTTTGAGTCGATGATTTAAATCGTGTGTGGAGTCGGTCACATGTGAGTTTAAACGTGAGGTTATACCTGCACCCCATCATAGTATGAACCATATGATTCAGATACGGTGTAAATTTACCGCTAAATTATGAGTACAACCACAGAGGGTTAAAGGACTAAAATAACGAATATCGTATCTCTTCAACTTTTAGAGTTGGTGCACCACATCTTTTACAGAATGAACTAACAAAATGAACGGAACCTAAAGCAATGAAAAACCTAAAGCAATGGAAAGGTCTAAATTAGTTAGACACAATATATATGTATACACACACACGTGTAACAAAAAGAGAACTTACTTGGGTGGTTGGTTTGGCCATTGATGAAGCGGTTGAGACACCAACTAGCAAAACCCACAACAATAAAATACATAATCAAGTTAAGGAACAGCAATGGAGCTGCTATATTCCTTCCAACCGTCTGAGCCATGTTTCTCTCCCCTTCTTTTATTTCCAAACCACAAAGAAACAAAACTCAGTTTTTCCTCTCTTCTCCTTCCCTCTTATTATACTCCAAATTAAAGACTCAAAATATAAAAGCCCACTTCTTGATGACTACTCTTTTATGAACTTGTGCTTCTAATGGAAGCCTGAGAGAGAAGGATATATAGAACAGCCAAGGTTGTACATATTGATACGTGTTGCTCAAACTGGTTCTGCATGTGGACTTTCTGGTTACAGGTGGCAGGACACTTGTCGTTTTTTCACACTGTCTTTCTCAAAATCTGTCCATCTCTTTAAGAATCTCGAAGTTTATATACACTTCTTATTCATTTTATTGATTTGAGTTTAAAATTTGAGTTTTATTATAGTAAAAAACTTTTAAAAACAGTCACATTTAACTTTTTTATTACAGTAAAAAATTATCACATAAAATCACATTTTAATTTAAATTAAAAACTCGAATGCACGAACTAAACGAGTCTCTCATATATATCAAATGGTGCGGTTATCCAATGCGGATTATATACGCCTAGATCGCTTCTAAGTTAGACTCCAAATTTGTCCCACCACCAGTGGGCCCAGCAATCAACGGTGACAGACACGTGATCTGATCATATCTTTCATCAATCAAGGTGAATTGGCCATAGTTACATGGCTTTTAGTGCATTCTAGAATGATCTTATAAATATTCATTGTTATACAATTGTTTGTGCGAACTTCCGAACATCAAATTCCTGGTGGTTGGATCTCTTTTCTTATCGCCTTTCACTCACTCTTCTGACGCTCAAATTAGATAAAGTATCCGAAGAATTTAGCATGAGAGAATTTAGACAAAGAAAAAGAATAGAGTAGTCATTTCTGATTTTCTAGGGACCGGCTCCCTCATTATTCTCATCCTTTTCTATTTATATGACGTATATAATGATCGGATGAATATTCTTAATCCATCCTAACCACAACACGTCGTCATCCCTTTCTCTTTAGGGTTTCCTTGAGGATATTGCTCTTTTAGAATATTCTCGGAGGTTTTTCTCATTAAAAAATGTCGCTTTCCATTTTTATTCACTTTACACGTGTCGTGTCCGGATAGTTATCAGGATAGTGGGGCTTGTGCCACTATACGGAGATTCTCTCTCTACACAAATCATCCTCATTATCTCCTCAATCAGTCTATTTTGGTCTCTTAGTGTCGAAGCCTTCCGTCGACCTCAGTTCCGGTCTTGGTCTAGTTACCTCAATCGAGGTCATGTCCTTTTTCAATTGAGGTGGGCTTTGGTCTAAAACGGTTAATAAATCGGTTTAGATCCCGTACTATTGCTTCTATTGACTTCATAATACGTGTCGTGTCGTGATCTTTAAAGGATTTTAAGAAATCCTCCGTTGGTGATTACGTACTTAATAAATATATATAACGAATATAACGGTAATATGTATATGCAATGTATACATGTGTGTGTCTATATATATATATATATAATATGTGTACTCTTAGCTATTGGTTTTATATTTTTTTTTTTACCTATACATTGAATGTGTTAGATATTGGGTATGTGGTGACATTAATAGAAACTAGGCTCACATTGAGGGTGTCCAACCTATATTGGTTATATACGACCTATCTAATTAAAGGTCGATTTTTTACAAGTTACATCTAATCTAAATTAATTATTAGTGTATTATTCAATTCAATCCAATCTGCTTAAGGTGGGTTTGAATTTGATAGGATCAATTAGTTTTTTGCTTGAGCTTTTTTTAATATTTCTTTTTTTTTTTTCTGTTCAACTGATTTGTTAGATCTTTTTAACAAAATTAAAATACTATATTTGAAAAAATGAAGTAAGAATTAGCATTCATAAATCTAAAAAAGCATATAAACTCTAAATTACTTCAAAGTCGATTAAGCATTCAATGAATAACTTAAAGAAATGAAAATAAAGTTACAAACAACTAAAAATAAAAAGTTCAGAAAAAAGAATAATGGAAAATATAGAAAAGAAGTGACTGGAAAAAAGAAGAATTTAAATTTTAGACTACTAATATAAATATATATTCATAGTATATAGAGGTTGGATCAGTTTGGATTGGGTGTTTTGAAAGTAAAATTAACATCTAATCCAATCATATTCGGTTTTTAAGAAGTCACATCCAGTCTAATCTAATTGAGGTGGGTTATCCACTAAAATTAGATTGGATAAGATTGGATTGGATCGGTCAACTTGATCAGTTGATTAGATCCAATGAACACTCCTAACCCACATATTTGATCAAGTAGAATTAAATTAGGAGAAGAGTACATGATATGTCATGATTTTGTATAAATTTATTATTTATTATCTATGTCATTCTAAATAACTGAGTATCACCCTAATATTTGGTTTGATGTTTATTAATTAAATGACAACTGTTTATTTTTAAGTGGATCGGTAACATAAATAATATTTTTATCATTTTGAGTGGTATTTGTAGTTTTTCCCTTAAATTAGATCTTTATCTATTAGTGGGTTTTGAAAATTTTAAAATAATAAAGGGATGTACGACAAAATGTCACCAATTATCTTTTTCGCGGAAAAAATAATAGTTTGGATTAATTATAAAAATTCTCCCTAGATTATACATGTAACGCCATTCGGAATTAAACTTGTTTAATTATGATAATTGTGATTTATTAGTGTGCCT